GCTTTAAGCCGTCCATAAAAAATCAACTGCGACTTCTTTGTTCTATTATTTTTGCAAGATGCAATGCTTTTTGTCTCGTTATGCTAAGGTAACAGACGGTGACGGAAACCAATTTTATTCTTTTCCATATTCGTAAAATGTTAAATAATACTACTAAAGTTTAGGTCGAAAGTAATGATCATTATTATACTGAAATTTCCTAATTTCTAAAATCCTAATTATTTTGATTGCTGACTTTTCCTCCAAGTCCGAGAACTGCGAATCCAAACCGCTTTAAAGATGAAACGCGTTTTCCACACAGAAAACGAAGATGCGCGTTTGGACCAGAACTACGACTCCAATGCAAAAAAACATTTCATAAGTCTAGAGTGGGACCCATTTGAAAAAAAAACAGAGATTCTTTTGAGGCAAAGGTGATGATGATGTATTTTATTTAGTTTTAGGCTTTTAATAACTAAAGTAGTAATAATAATCAAGTAGCTCCTAAAAGTAAACAAAAGCTACAAACTGTTACTGTACATTAGGATTCAAAATCCCAGAATCGAAATACTAATCGTTGCGCATTAATCTCTCTATTTACATAATTTAAACCGTTTTTAAAGAACAAATAAGCTTACAGAAGCAAAAAAAAATAGGAGCATCATCAGAAAAGTTATATCTTCATGGTACGACCATCAGTTTCCCATGTCTCCGGTCTCATTTCCTCTGTTCTCGGAAGATTCATAGACTGCAAACACAATCCGAGTGTTTTTGCATTATCAGGATCATCTTCTTAAGCTCAAGAAGGATTAAAAATAGGTCACAAGATGATTGAAGGAAACTCTGTTTCAGTCTCGTAAATGTACACTCCAGAGGAAAGAGAAGCAGCTACTCTTTTCATCCCTGCATTATAACATCAGACAGTTTCAAAATATCAAAATTCAAAACCCAAATGTTTTCCACCACAAATACCAAATTAGAACTCAGTCAGACAGATACCAATGAGATCTACAGAGTTTCAATCACCATTTCACATTCTTTGTCAAAAGGTCTTAAATTTGACAACAAACAACCAACAAGATAGTTAACAGATTCACATGATGAGGAAGAAGAAAAAGTACAGTCCGCTTAACACATTGAAAGATTGGGAAACAATTAAAAGTTGGTTTTTTTTGTTTTTCTTTTCTTGGCAAACAGAGATTTTTATTTTACAGACATATCAGTACGCACACGGGACTTATAACTCTCGAGCAAAATAATCATCAATGCTTAAAAAAAAAGCAAAGCCAATGAATTGATGTAATGATACGTCCATGGAATCTCAGAACAATAGACAATTTTTCATCAAATCTGATAAGCAAAGCAAATCCTTGCGTATGCAAAAATGAAAGATGAAACCTTTAGATTTTGATTTCTCAGATTTATACACATACCTTTGG